TGGGAGACAACAGTTGTATTCAACCTTGGCTGCACTTTGTAGTAACTTGAGGAATTAAAAAATACTGATGTCTAGAAATTCTGCTTTCATTGGTCTGAGGACTAAGCATCAGGATTTTTTAAAGCACTCTGGGCAATTGTAATTGTACCGGGATTGAATGTGGTGAGAGCCTGGAAAATGTGATGCGTACCCTGGAAGCATAGAGGAGGAGCACTTAATCCATTCTGGGCTGTGGGTTGGAGTAGGCTTCCCAGAGAGGAGGAAATATCTGAGCTGAGGTTTGATAAATGAGTTTGTCAAGTGAAAAAGGCTGTAAAGACTATTCCTTGCAGAAGAGCAGCTGAATAATATAGAACAGTAAAGTGGCTAGTGCCTTTAGAGTTCGTTCTGCGCTGTTTCTACAGCTTGATCTCTTTATCTTTGGCCAATTTATCCTTTTTGTGAACTTTAGTGTCCTTATCTCTAACTGGGAGTAATATTACCTATGGGGTTATTGAAGACGGATGTAATGCATTGCAAAGTGCTTAGGATTATGCCAAATGCATAGGAATCCCTAGTAAGTGTTGGTAGTTGTACGGCAATAGTGTTTTTGTCAGAGAATTTGAGCATGCATGGTTTGTTTAGAAAATTACCATTAGATCTGTATGACTGGATCTTAGGGTGCAAGGCTGCAGAAGGTGGGGGGAGGAGGCAAAAAAAAAAGTGCTTGACAGGGTTCCAGATCATGGAATATGTAGGAGAATAAGGCAGTTAATAATGGAATATCGGCCAGGTGTGGTGGTTCATGCCTGTAATCCCAGCACTTTGGGAGGCCAAGGTGAGATGATTGCCTGAGACCAGCCTAGGCAATTTGGTGAGACCTCATCTCTACAATAAATCAAGAAAAATTATCTGGGCGTGGTGACACATGCCTGCAGTTCCTGCTACTTGGAAGGCTGAGGTGGAAGGATCACCTGGGCCCAGCAAGTCGAGGCTGTGGTGGCTCTGAGCAGCGAGCCACTGCATTCCAGCCTGGGTGACAGTGAGATTCCGACTCCAAAAAAAAACAAAAAGGGATATTGTGGCAGAACCAGGACATTTCCATGGTAATATGTTAAGATAAATCATAAAGTGTTCTGGGAAAACTTTGGTCCATATTGGAAAATTGGCTCTGAATGTGACATTCTCAGTATCATTATGTGTACCAAATTAACAGTGAGTGCTAATAGGACAGAAATAGGATTTTCAGTTCTTTTAGCTAAGTAGTTAAAAATATTGAGCATCTTGAAAAGCAATGGAGGAATAAGTAGTCTCAAGGTAGTCCCAGAGAGCCTCTGAAAATTGCTAGAGTCTTAATTGTTTACAGGCTTAATGAAAACATTAAGTAAAGGTTGGTTGACCATTTGCATTTAGAGGAAGTACATTTTAAGTTTTCAATTTGCAGAGAGATAGAAAATGCTTCTATGTGCATTGGCTTTACTGGCCTTTAAAATAACTTAGGTATATTTGTTGGTATGTATATTACTTGTCACAACACTAGGAAGACTAGTCTGTACTTCATTTGTTCCTTCTGCCCAGTATTTTTGTTACACTGGCTATGTACCAGCCACTGTTCAGGTACCAGAGAAACACCACTTGGCATGATAGACAAGAGCCCTACTCTCTAGCAGCTCACATTTAGAGAAGGGAGACTGACCGTAAACCAAAATTGTGACAGGTATAATGTGGAGACTTAAAATTACGTGAGAGAGTGTCTTAAGGAAGGCTTTTCTGAGAAGGCCAAGCTAGTTTTGAATGACAGAAAGGGCCACCTCTGTGAAGATCAATGTAAAGAGCTATAAGATAGAAATTTGTCTGATGTGTTTGAGGAACTGAAAGGTCAATGTGGCTGGAGTTAAGTGGGCAAGGTATGAAATGAAGTTAGGCAGAAACCAGATCATGTAGGACTTTATAAACCCTTATAAGGACTACCTCCCCTCCATTTAAAAAAATTGTGGTATACACATAACATAACATTTCTCATCTTAACTATTTGTAAGTGTACAGTTCATTAACTTAAGTACATTTATATTGTTGGGCAACTATCACCACCATCCATCTCCAGAACTAGAACTTTGACTTGATTTTGAGTGATCTGGGAAGTTTTGGGGAGGCTGTGAGCAGATGACTGGTGTAGCCTAAACTTTAGAATAAAAGGAGTACTGGCCACTCTGTTGAGATCTGACTGAAGTGGGGTAAGAGAGGAAACAGGAAGACCAGTCAGAAGAGTACTGCAGTAATTGAAGTGAGATGATGGTGATCTATCAAGGACTGTAGTATTGGGGATGCTGAGAAGCATTGAAATTTTGGATATATTTGGATTGCAGAATCAGTAGAATTTGCTGATTGGTTGATCATGCATATGAAACTAAGAGAGGTGTTGGGGATTATATTAAGTTTGTTGGTCTGAATAACCGGTGGAGTTCAGGAGATGGAGGTTTCAAGAAGAAAAGTATGATATGCTAAATTAGAGATGCTTCTTAGATGTCCAAATGGGGATGTTGAGTAGGCAGTTGGATAGAGGATTCTGGAGTCAGAGAAGAAGTCAGGTTGGAGACATGACTTCGGGAGTTGTCAGCATATGCATGGTAATTAAAGTCAAGAGACTGAATGAAATCATCTAAATAATGAGTGTAGACAGGGAAAGTAGGAGAGCCAACAAGAGAAGGAATTAACAAAGGAGTAGCCAGTAAGGTAGGAGGACCAATAGAGAGCAATGTCCTGGAAGGCAAGGGAAGAAAGTACTTCAAGGAGGAGGGCAAGTCAATCAGCTAAGTCAAGTTTCTGAGAGACTGAGAATGGATCACCGAGAATCGAGCATTTTAGCACATTTTAGTAATGTTGAGGTCTCTGGTGCCTTGACAAATGTTTCAGTATTGTGGGTTCAGAAGCCTCGTTGAATGTTGTTAAGGAGATAAAGGAAGAAGAAGCAGAAATGATGCATTCAGACAATGTTGGGATATTTTTCATTTAGAGAGATAGCAGGATTATACAAAACACTTTGAGGCACAGAGTAATGTGTTGATACTCTGGTATTTTAGGATTCAGTGTATAACACCATTACATGCTCATGTTATTGCAATGTTTAAATACATAAAAAAAATTAAAAATGAAAATTTAAGTAAAATACATGGAAGCTCTGAAGAATTGCCATGGAGTCCTAGGGTCCTGTGGAACACACTTTAAAAACTGTTATCTTAATTCAGAGGAATGAAATTCTGAGGTGAAATTCAGTCAATTGCAAAATAGCTTAAGAAAGATATTTTGGGGCTTTAAAGGGAATTTTCTTGGTGCTTTTCAGATTGAATACATGAATACTACCTACTATTCATGAAAGATGATCTTAGAACACTCCTTTTTTTCATCAGATGCTCTATCTTAAGATCTTTTGAATGAAATGGATATTTCCATATGGTATTTTCCATAGATGTTTGGTGCCAAAGGATGCTAACTTTGTAGGATTTTTATAACTTCTTGCAGGGAATAAAGATCATAAAAAATTTTTAAGGCCCTTTTGAAACTTCAGTTTATTTTTGTTGAGTAAGATACTCTGATTTAGTGTCTGATATTTAAAAATAACTTTGTTGGACAAGGTACATTTAAATACCTTGAATTTTAGAGTAGCCAACTAACTCTTCACTATAGGCACTATTTATAGCAAAAGCCCATGTTTCTCTTTAGTGAAGAAATGATCTTTCACAAGAGAAATAAGTAGATTCTTGATTCATGAAACACATTTTCTTTCCCCTTCTAAGGCAGTAGGAGTATTACCATTTTTTATTGACTCTATAATGCCATTATTTATAGAAAGAAACCATTATTTTATGTACTACTGAGAAAAAAACATTGCTGCCATTTAGAATTGTAAAATGCTGTAAGTTGTAAGAGATATGAAAACGTGAAAGTTCATCTTAGAATCAATGAAACACAGAATTTGAGGGCCAGGAGGTATGAGTTCTGATCCTGGCCATGTTTCTTAGACAAGTCACTTAGACTCTCTTTGCCTCAGGTTTTTCCTTGTATGGTGAGAGTAATACCTGACATACCTACCTCACAAAATTATGCTAAGAATAAAATGAGATAGTTATTTTGAAAAGTAGACTCTACTGAGCAGATTTAAAGTATTTGATTTAAATTAATCCTCAGATATGATTAGGCAACTCATAGTTTCTTACTTGAGCTTTTGTTTTCAGGTTTAAAACAGTATTAAGTTATAGACATTTGAAAGTATAACATTTTCTTCTGCTAAATGATTTTTATTCAATCTAGACATCTATTTTATTATAGTTTTGAAATTAAAGGGAAAATACAAAGATAATATAACCTCAATATTCTTGTCATCTAGAATTAACAAGCAATAACATTCTATTAGTTCTTTGATCTTTTGAAGATTATTATGAAGTATTTATGAAGTAAAATAATATAATAATGAACATTCATATACTTGCCATTGCCAATACAGGTGAAGGCCTGCATGTGGGAACAGTGTCCTACATTTAGAATAGCATACTGCCTTCACAATTGTCTACTGAGACAGGATACTGCTTCTCTTGTTTCAATCTTTAAGACCTATAAATAAGCAAGTTAATTTTTTCATGTGGACTTTTATCCTGGAATATGGGAGAGAGGGCTGCTTTGTGCTGATGTTTCCTTGGACTGAGTTTTATCAGAATTCTATCTCTGGCTTTGGAGGTCCAGCTGTGGAAATTGGAAACAGGACATCTGTAAAATCATAGTAATGGCTAGCCTATTATGTGCCAGGCATTTTGTGTGTGTGTGTGTGTGTGTGTTTAAGTTTACAATAATTGTTTTGATTAGATGTTTTCATTTTGTAGATTAGGAGAGCATGACTCTGAGAAGTTGAGTAACTTGTCCAAAGTTCCTCAGCTATTAAGTTGTAGAGCTAATAATTTAGTTAAGATCTACCTTAAACCACAGCCAATATGTTTTACACTATGCTGCCTCAATCCTTGTCAGTAATCATGATCTGTTTCTTTTGTAGGCAAAATCCAGAGACCACGTTTGAAGTATATGTTGAAGTGGCCTATCCTAGGACAGGTGGCACTCTTTCAGGTACTTTGCATGTTCAATTATGATATCGTTTATTTGCTTATTGTATGAGATAGCCATGCACATGGGATAATATGTGAATAATATGAGTAAATTCTTAACTAGCTTTTAGTATGTTTAAATGCCTTTCTCTTTTATTTGTGCCCATATCATCCTAGGAAGAATGGAGAATAAAAGCACAGTGAATAATTTGAATTCAGAGTTCAAGCATAATAGACTTGAAGTATGGCTTTATTCATTGTAATCATTGGGTCTTGGTTTGTATCTTTCACAGATGCCTGGAATTGAACTATTTAGTGTGAAATATTATAACCTTGCTAATGAGGAAGGCTTTACCTCTATTCTACTACTCTAATGGTAGAATTAGGTTATGGGATATAAAATAATATAAAGGGGATTCTCTGCCATTAAACTGGAAGGGGATAATTGAAAAGGAATTAATTTAATAAATTTTATATCTCCTGGTAAAAGAAGGTTGGAAATTAGTTGAAGGAAACACCACCTCTGGCTTTAGCTTTTAGACTAATATGGGTCTTTTGATAAGATTAGGCTGTCCTGTACAAGTGGTATATATCATTTCTTAACCCAGAATCTTTCTTGCTTAGTGAGAAAAATAATCTTATGATCTAGTGTTCTTTTTCTTGGTGCCTATAAAAGGGATGCATTTTGCCTAAGGGCATGTTAGGGACTGTTGGTGCATACATATACAAACACCTACATATATTATTTGATGTTTAGGGAGAGTGGACATACTTGGATTAGAAATTTGGCGTAATCAGGATTCTGATGGTAGTTGTACTCTTAATTGACTTTACAACCTTGGGCATATTTTCTGTCTTTTTCATTATTTTGATGCAATTGCAGTATTCATAAAAACAGCCACATTTTATTGAGTGCCTGTTGTTCTGTTATGCTACGTGCTTGACATTTATGGTGTCAATCCTCACAATACAACCTTTAAAGATAGTTGAATCTGTCAAATGTCTCACACTTATAATCCCAGCACTTTGAGAGGCCAAGGTGAGAGGATTGCCTGAGCTCATGGGTTCGAGACCAGCCTGGGCAACTTGTTGAGACCTCGTCTTTACAATAAATCAAAAAATTAGCTGGGTGTGGTGGCACACACCTATAGTTTCAGCTATTTGGAAGGCTGAGGCGGCAGGATCACCTGAGCACAGCAGATCAAGGCTGTGGTGGCCATGAGCATGCCACTGCACTCTGGCATGGGTGACAGAGTGAGACTCCAACTCAAAAAAAAAAAGTGTGTGTGTGTGTGTGTGTGTGTATAGTTGAATGGTATCCTCCCCCTTAAGCCCACGAGGAAACAGAATCTCAGGGAGGTGAAATAACTTACCAAAGTCATATAGCTATGTCGGGGATATTCAAGGTTTTTGTTTCAAGTCCTCTTCACTCTGCTAAATTGCCTTTTTGAGGATAGTGACCATGTTGTACGCATCTCTTCATGTCACCTGTAGGGCTTCATATATGTCATCAATAGTTGTTAAAATGAATGAATTTTCCCTGTGGCAAATGTGAATAACTGTGTTCCACCTTCTGAATTATCAAATGAACACTGTGAAGCATATTACAAATTTGTGGTTGAAGTATGACTTTATTCGTAGTAATCATTGGGTCTTGGTTTGTATCTTTCACAGATGCCTGAAGTTGAACTATTTAATGTGAAATATTATAACCTTGCTAATGAGGAAGGCTTTACTTTATTTTGTGACTTAATGGTAGAATTACGTTATAGGATGCAAAATAATATAAGAGAGATTCTGTATTTCTATGTCTCTAGAAATAGAAAGTTAATGTCCATGTTAAGTTATGCCTCTTACTATGCATAGACACCACTAGGTTTTGAAGGGAATTATCTGTTACCAGGTATGTACATGCAGCAACACCTTGACAGGCTGACTTTAGAGTAACCATGGGATGACAGCTGTGATTTGACAGATAAAATTTTAAAAATAATTTTTTCAGGACAAGATCTTGCTCAGTCATCTGGGCTGGAGTACAGTAGCAAAATCAAAGCTCATTGTAATCTTGAATTCCTGAGTTCAAGCAATCCTTCTGCCTTAGCCTCAGGTGCATACAACCATGTCCAGCTAATTTTTACAATTTTATAGTATGGGGTCTTGCTATGTTGCTAAGGCTGGTTTCAAACTGCTGGCCTCAAGTGATCCTCTCAAAGTGCTGGGATTACAGGCGTGAGCCACTGCTCCTAAATAAATTTAGGACAAAAAATTTTCTTGTTTTTACGGTTGCTCATGTATCCCTCTTTCAATACTTTTGGATTTTTTCCCCCAAAGTTAAAATTAAATTTTAAAATACGAACAAAATCTGAAAAAGTACAAATGTGATAAAAGAATGAATAAAATGAACCTTATTCCAGCCATCTGATTTCTTTCCTTATCTCAGCCACCTAATTATTCTCCCCATAAACAACTTTTTTGTGTGTGTTGGGGTCTTACTCTGTCGTCTAGGCTGGAGTGCTTTGGTGTGATCTTGGTTCACTGAAGTCTTGATCTCTTGGACTCAGGCATCCTTCTGCCTCAGCCTCTCTGGTAGCTGGGACTACAGGCGCATACCACCTGTATGCTAAATTTTTGACTTTTTTTTTTGTAGTGGCCAGGTCTCATTATATTGTCTTGGCTGCTCTCAAACTCTTGGGCTCAAGCAATCTTGTCTCAGCCTCCCAAAGCGCTAGGATTACAGATGTGAGACACTGGGCTTGATCACAACTCCTTTTTTGTTTAACCATTTAGTTTACTTTTTAACTTCTTATTTTGAAAATATTTTAAAAGAAAAGTTGCAAAAACAGTTCAGTGTATATGCCCTTTCCTTAGCTTCACCAATTGTTACTATTTTGCTTTATCACTACACTCACATACATGCACACACACAAAATTTTTGCTGAGTCATTTAAGAGTAAATTATAGGCATATGACCTTTTATTCCTAAATACTTCTGGCTGTATCTTCTAAGAATAAGGACATTTTCTTATATAACCCTAGTACAATTATTGAAATCAGAAAACTTAATATCGATATAATGTCAGTTGTCCATATTTAAGTTTAATCAATTGGCTAGGCATACCTGTAATCCCAGCACTTTGGGAGGCTGAGGCGAGAGGACTACTTGAGCCCAGGAGATTGAGACCAGCCTGGGCAATATAGTGAGACCTCATCTCTATAAAAAATCAAAAAATTAGCTGGGCATGATGGTGCTTGACTGTAGTCCCAGCTTCTCAGGAGGTTGAGGTGGGAACATTACTTGAGCATGGGAGTTTGAAGCTTTGGTGAGCCTTGATTGTGGCTGCCACTGCACTCCAGCCTGGGTGACAGAATGAGACCCCAACTCAAAAAAAAAAAAAAAAAAAGTAATCAATTGTTTCACTTTATAGCATTTTCCCCTATGATCCAGAATCTAATCCAGCATCATGTAATTCATTTTGTTTTCATGTCTTTTGTTTCTTTTAGCCTGGAATAACTTTACAGTCTTTCTTTGCCTTTGTGACTTGTTTTTTTAAGAATTTGGGTCTAGCTGGGCTCGGTGGCTCAGCCTGTAATCCCGTGCTTTTGGGAGGCTGAGGTGAGTGGATTGCCTGAGCCCGCGGGTTCGAGACCCGCCTGGGCAGCGAGACCTCATCTCTACAATAAATAAAAAATCAGCCGGGCGTGGTAGCACATGCCTGTAATTCTGGCTACTGGGAAGGGTGAGGCAGAAGGATCGCCGGAGCCCAGCGGGTCGAAGCTGCGGTGGCCGGGAGCGACCACTGCACTCCAGTCTGGGCGACAGAGTGAAACTCCAACTCAAAAAAAAAAAAGAATTTGGGTCTGCTGTTTTGTAGAAAGTTCTTGGATTTGTATCGGTCTGATTGTATCTTCATGAGTAGATTCAAGTTATAGATTTTTGGCAGAAGTGATGTGTGTCCTTTTTAGTGCATCATATCAGCAAGTACCTATCTGTTCTATTATTTGTGAAAAAGTACATAAAACTTACATATGTAGCTTAACAAATAATTATGGAATAGCCATGTTACCAATGGTTCTATGGAAATACTGGTCCTGGTGAGAGGGACCCCTGTTCTGGTCCAGTGCTATAGAGGGCCCTGTGTTGACCCTCCTTTGACAGTACTCCTTTCCATAGGGCAAGGAGTCTCTGTGGCCCACAGGGCATGCTCAGTGGAGCCTGAATCCTTCCATTCAGGACTATGCTTTGAGTACCCAGGATCTCAATTTCTTTCCCAAGTTGCTCTGAGCTTGTTACTAGAGCCTGTATGAGTCTTTTCTTTGGGTCTGTTCTCCTGAGGGTGGGCTGTGCTGCTGGTATATATGCCTGTAGGCCAGAGGGGTGGCTTAAGGGTATCTGTTGGTGGGGAGTACTATATGGGCTAAAGCTTGAACTTGGGAGTGGGGGTAGCTGTGTGTTCATGTGTGAGGTCCCTTGTGGTGCCAGATGGAGAAGGGGCAAACGGGCAGTGAGGCAGCAGCCTGTTTTCCTTGTGCCACTACTTTTCTGCACAGAATTCTAAAGAATCAAAAAGTTTTCAGTATAAATCTGACCTTCAAGGTGGTTATAAAGGTATATTTGACATGAGAGGAGGATAGAACAAATTGTATTTAATAGTTTTTAAACTAGCTTTATAACCTTTCAATATTTACCTATTTAGGCATATGGTTTGTGGGTCTCTATTTCTACCCTTGCCTAGGTCCTGTAAATGTTAGAGATGGGTTTGACCAGCACCCCAGAGGCCCCTCCCTCCTTTTCTTCAGAAGTAACTACTATCCTGGCTTTTATGATAGTAATTTCTTTATTTTTTTCATAGTTTACTACATAAGTATACTTCCTTGAAAAATATACTTTAATTGTGCTGGTTTATGAATTTTATAGTAATAGAATAGTTTTGCTGCTTTAGATTTTTTGCTAGATTATGTTTGTAAGAGTCGTCCATGTTTTATGTAACTCCAGTCATTCATTTTCATCTGTGTAATACTCTA